TGACAGCTGTCAAGTATAAATAGCTGTCAGGCGGGCGCTGGTTCTTGTTCTTGTTCTGAAGTGTTCTGTGTTACAATAAAAGCCTGTTTGAAAGAACCCTCTCCTAAGTGCCTGAGTTTTTAAAACTGGCGACGAGGATGTGTGACATGGACCCCGTTCACGTCCCAGCCATTGCTGCCACTTCTGTCTTCGCCGTGTTCCATCCTGAGGTGGAATTGTGGGATGCGTTTCTTGAACGCTTTGAGGTCTTCTTACAGGCTCACGATCTCACGGACTTGTCTGAGGGGAGGAAGAGAGGCGTCTTCCTCCATTATTGCGGCCCGGAGATGTTTGCCACTGCACGGGCTCTGTCTACTCCTATGCCCGTGCATACTATGCCTTTGGAACTGTTAATGGCCAGGCTCAAGCTACACTACGAGCCTACTCCTTTGTGTTACGCCTGCCATCAGTTCTTCAGGTGGTGCATCCAGGCTGAGGGCCAATCCATCAGCCAGTATGTTGCCGCTCTGAGGGCCACCGCAATCCACTGTGAGTTCGTGGATTTGGATGACGCCCTCCTTGAACAATTTATTTATGGCCTCCTCGACATCAACCTCCACTGCTGCATTCTTTTATGATCTGAGCTGACCCTGAAGATCACGGTGGATGAAGCCCACGCCTATGAAATGGCTGGGAAGTCCACTCCTGACCTCCGCCGTTTCCCTCCGTCAGCCTTGGCTTTGCTGCCTCACTCCTCCGTCCATTGCCAGCTCAGGCCCAATGATTCCCGGTCTGAGCTCGATCTCTCAATTGACCGCTTCAAGACTGTGTTTCTTTGGGATGGCAGTGTCTGCCTCAGCTGCGGCGGCTGCCACTTCAGGTCCTCCTGCCGCTTCTGCTTGTCCCTTTGCCGCAAGTGAGGAAAGAAGGGCCACATTGCGGCCATCTGCCGCTCAACTCCTACCGGCCGCCGGCCCGCTTCTGCTCCTTCCTCTGCCCACCACGTGTGCTATGCCGTTTCTGACCCAAAGGGCCCACTTCCTGACTGGATGCTTGACTCTGTCTCCTCTGGGTGGCTGGGGTAAGATGCATCTCCGCGTCTTCATTGATGGCCGCCCCTGCCCCATGGAGTTGGACACATGCTCGGCCCACTCAATCATTTCCTGGGACACGCTTAAGGCCCTGCTGCCGCATCTCCATCGGAGCCATCTCTCTCCAACTTCCTGTCATCTGTGGGACTACCAGGGCAACCCCATTCTCATTTTGGGCTACAGCACCTCATCCAATATGGACAGGTTAAGGGCCCTCTGCCCCTGATCGTTGTCTGTAACCCTCTAGCTTCCCTACTAGGGCTCGTCTGGTTCTGAGCCTTCGGTCTCTCCATTACAGGCATCAATTCCCTGTGCCTGGCTTCCTCCCTCGATTCCCTCCTGTCTGAATTTTCTGATGTCTTCGATAATTCCTTGGGTTGTTATTGGGGCACCCCCATCTCTCTAAATTTGGACCCCATGGTTGTGCCCATCCTTAAGGCCAGGCAAGTGCCTTTTGCACTTTGGGCGCGGGTTGAAGCTAAGTTGGACAAACTGATCGCACAGGGCATCTTGGAGCCCGTGAATCACTCCCCTTGCTGCCTATTAAGTCTGACGGATCCATGAGGATCTGTGCAGACTATAAGACAACTGTCAACAAGGTGTTGCAGGCCCACCCCTATTCCGTGCCAGTCGTGCAACATGTGTTGCACTCCTTGGGCCAGGGCAAAATCTTTGCTAAATTGGACCTGGCCCAAGCGTACCAGCAACTGCCCATAGACGAAGCAACCACTGTGGTGCAAACTATCGTGACACACCATGGTGCCTTTAAGTGCTGCCGACCAATTAGGCATCAGTGTTGCCCCTGGCATTTTCCAGGGATTGATGGAGCGCTTGCTCCATGGGATCTCTGGAGTCACACCGTATTTTGACGATGTCCTGATTGCCGCTGCCAATCAATCGGGACTCGTCAAAATACTGCGGGCGGTGCTGACAAGATTTATAGCTGCTGGCCTCCGCTTGAAGTGCTCTAAATGTCAGCTGGGCGTCCCTTCAGTCGAATTTTTGGGCTACCTCATAGATTCTCGAGGTATCCACCCCACTCCCGCCAAGATTGATGCAACAAACTCCTTATGAAATAAATAATGTAAAGTGAAAAATAATCCAATTTAATGTTAAATATTAAGAAGTGTTAACATATGCTTAGTAAACTTATATTTGACAATGAAATATAGATAGTTTTGTTGTCTTCGGCTTTAGAATAGATAAAGATGGGAGTGTGCGGGAGAAATAAATAGCACATTAATCTTTGGGAATAAAGTAATGACAATTTTAGGTAAGAGCAGGAAGGATAAAGAATTTTCAGTGACAAAAGCATCAGAATAATTAAAGCCATAGTTTTCCAATGGTAATATACAACCGCGAAAGCTGGACCCTGAGAAAGAGCAGGAGAAAGAAGATGGATGCCTCCAGTTACAGTCTTGGAGATATTTACTCATGAAGTGCAAGAACCAGCAGTAATCAATTTTGTATCAAATAAAGGTTGGCTGCTCAATTGAAGCCGTGATAAGCAAGCAGAAATCTCCCTACTTACACTAGGTGAGAAGATACAGCCTCGGGGAAAAATGTTTACTCTTGGCAGGAATTAGAAAAAGTGGAAGAAAAGGCAGGCAATGAATAATGTGAAAAATCAAATAAATTACTGGAATGTTACTACCAAAGACAGGGCAAAAAGATGAGCATTGACCACAAAATCCAACCTGCTTTATGACAACTAACCAACTAATTAACTTACTAACTTAACTATTTTTTGAAGCTGATGGAAACAATTATTTGTACCTTCTTCCGGAAATTACTATGCATCATTTATGACAAAGAGAAATTAAGTATATTAGATATATTCTTCCATTGGGGACATACTACATATTACAAATTATGTGATACATCTATTCTTGGACTCTGCCATTTTGGGTGCCCGAAGCACTGTGGACCAGTCCTTTGCTATTTCCAGGCCAGCCCCACAGACCAGATTTAAGCAACCTGTGAACCAGATCCAGCCCACAGGCCTTGAGTTTGACATTCCTGATCCAGCAGTTCAATCCTAATACTGCAGGGCAAGGTGAACTCCCATCACTTGCTTCAGATACTGCCCACCTAGCT